TGACAGTTCTGGCGGCCAGTCTTAATTTGTTTAGCTAGAAGCATTTGCCGAAAAAGCCGGTGCCTGTCGCAACAGAAACTGCGGGGAACTATGCAAAAAACAAATCTTCGCACAGGCAGCCCGTGCGTTGGCCAATTATTTGCCTTTTTTTTGCTTCTAAGCATAATTTTGGAGTAATTGTAGTCAAATGTGTATCCGACCAGCACGGTAAAACAGGAGCTACCAGAACAGCAAGATTGGTCCCAGCAATCCGATGCATCGGGCCCAGTGATCAGCGGAGGAATGCCTCCTCCTCCTCAAGCAGTATTGCCTCAATGTGAGTAACAAACCTTTGTTTTTTGTTTTTTCATGGTCCGTTTTTCGACTTTTCAAACTTTTTATATTAAAATATTTAGCTGGCTGTCATGGGACGCTAGTAAATTGTGTTATTGCCATACCATAGGTCGAAGCTTCGATTCCATCAGTGCACAACCAGCCCCGTTATTACCGACCATTCATTCATTTCGCTGGCAAATTAGTTTTGGCAGATGCCTGAAGGAAGGGGAAGGGAGGCGGGGGGAGGGGGGGGAAAGGGTTGATCTTGCTTCTAAAGGGCTTTCGCCAAAAGGCGCTGTATTATACTCGGATTATTTTCGAATGTTTCCACTTGTTACAGAGAATGAATTATAAAGGGAATTTAACTTTTGTTATTTTGAATACCTGGAACAATTGTGGTCCCATTAGCATAAAAAACGAATACTGATTCTAGGAAAGTGAAGGAGAAATTTGTTGAAATTGGTGCTGTATGTTAATTGGTTTCAGTGCCAGTCGATCCTGCTGGTTTCATGATGCCTGGCACATCGGCAGAAATGCCTGGTCCTTCCTTTTCCGGCGCACTCACTTCCCCTCTGAAGATGGTCGTCGAAGGTCCAACGCAACACTCCGGTTTGTTTTTTGCAGAAGCTTTTTCATGCACTTTTTCGGTGCAGCGCTAGAGCGCTGCAACAGGCAGCAAAAACGCATATTGCAGCGACTCTGTCAGTGTGTATGTGTATGTGTGTGTGTGTGTGTGTGTGTTTCTGTGTGTATGCGTGTGTGCGTGTGTCCGGGTATTTCAACTCGCCAACCATGCAAGCTTTGAAGCTGAAATTCTGCCAATGTGTTCCCCAGCCAAGTGCCACCCCAGGACGGCGGTATCAACTCTCACGCAATCGCACCGGCCCGCCTGGTGCGTTCCAGCCTGGGTCATGCAGATTTGGTAATACTTGTTGGAAATGGTATAACAATTCGGACAACAATGAAATTAGTGTTGCAGTCCAAATGGTGATATTCAGCTTAGGGTGGAGAAAACTAGTATAGTTACTTTTAACGTTTGGCGCCATCTTAGTAAAACTGAAGCGATTATTCCGCTTAGCTTGCCCAAAGAGGCAGTGTAAGGCTATTAACATATTTTGAATAAAATATGAACAATTAAAAATAAATGGCCATCGCACCGACTAGCGGTGTGAAAATGCGTTTTTTGCATAGTTCCCTGCTGATTTTTGTCTCTAACGGCACCGGTTTTTTCGGCAGATGCTTCTAGCTAAAAGAATTGAGACTAGCCACCGGGGCTGTCAGAAAACACCCACCAAATGGCGGGCCGTACGAGAGAACCACATGGGTAAGAGCGCCCGTTTTGGGGCTGGAAGCCCACATGTACATGAAGATTAAGTTCCCAAAGTTTCAGCCTTGTAGTTTTTGTTGGTCTTGAGATGAAAACTCGGTACAGACGAACACACAGACACACACACACACAGACAACCCCTCGATAGTATGCGTTTTGCATTGCATTGAAGCAAAAAATATGCGAAAACCCCGGGATAAAAATCGGTGCTTAGAGCATACACCGTTGAAACTGCCTAAGCCAGTTCTGTTAAATTTACACGGAACAAGGATGTTTTGCAGGCGCAAGTTCAAATGCGGAGGCCGCGACAAATCCCTACAGTTTACTGAGCCTTGATCCGGTTTCGGATGATGAGCCATACATGTTTGGTATGGGTCCGCAGGATTCGCTGCAAAATTTGTTCGATTGGCCGTAGTTCACTATGTGTTATTTCCGAATTTTGATCTCTTTTTTTCCAGCTGTGCACTCTTTTTTTTTTTGTGTCTTTTGTTGATTTTGAAGTATTCATGTGCTCACTTGTTAAGTGATAGCTGCTAATCGGCGAGAATATTTGCTCGACGAATTGAACTGCCGGAGACTCAGCTGTGCTAAAACAGTTATTTTTTTTTTTTTATTTTTTTGGAAGAGATAGTTAACAGTTGCAGAAATCATTGACTCAGTTAACAGTTGCAAAATGCCTGAAAAACCACCTTGTTGCATGCGAATTTAGCAAACTTAGCTTATTTACGCATCGATATTTATCCCGGAGTTTTTATTTGTTTGTTACATCAATGCAATGCAAGAACACATACTACAGAGGGTTGTCTGTGTATATGTGTGTGTCTGCGTGTCTGTCTGTACCGATTTTACATCTCGAGATCTACAAAAACTGCAAAACTGAAACTTTGGGAGCTTAATCTACACATACGTGTGGGCTGCCAACCCCAAAATGGGCGCCCTTACTTATGTGTTTGCAGTATGTGATGATGCAGAACATGTGTGTTATGTTGAGTCTGTTTTTGTATAAATAACTGGTTTATGGATGAAAGTTCACTATCTGGAGTTACTGTTGCTTATTTTCTGTTGCTTATGTGTTTGGTTTTATTTTAATGTTACTACCTTGTAATTTTTATTTTTTTGTTACTCATCGGGTTTTTTTCGAATAATTTGAGACACGCTTACTACGTCGCTAATGCTTTTCTCAAATGTTTATTTCTCAGTATGATGAGAGCCTTATCAGGAACACCCGAATACTGCCCCAGAGTCGATTTACGTGAGTCGATTTACGTGAATTTTACGTGAGTTGGTTTACGTGAATTTTACAAATTTTACGAATATTGCGTGAATTTTTCCTCTCAGCTGTTATCGGTTTTTCGATCTTGAGCCCTAAATTATCTTAGAAATCGGGTACCGTTTTAGGTATATTACCCAGAAATGCATTTTATGGGTTTCTATTTGTGTGTATTTTCTCATGAAGATTGAATGTCTACGCATCCATCCGTGTTTGCATTCATTTGTTAAAAAGTGCTTTCTTTTTGTAGCCGTGCAGAAGGGAAGCCTGTTGTTCTCCGGCTTATTCAAGGCTGAATGATGCGTTTGAAAGGCTAATGCATTTGAAAATCATAAGATTTTAATGGTGTTTATGTATCTCGGGTATTATACATTGTAAATATCTTGGATGCAAGTGACAGACAGTTTCTTTCTTCTTCGATCCGTGATACATTTCTTACCAGACCAAACAATTTTTGAGTGAACAAAAGCAGAATCAGTCTAGAATACCACAAATATTTTTATGCATGTTTCATTTTCTTGACACATATGTACATATATATATGCTGTGAGCTCTGTTGTAGTTGAACAGATTGATGGTATTTATGTAGAACTTGTTAAGGGAGCGAACATAGGCTGTTTGACTGGCAGCAGTAGTCTGTAGTACTGATCGGGTAAGGTGTGTGACGAGTCTCCGAAGTTTTTCACAACTTGCCTCTAGATGGTTTATCGAAAGTTGGCTTGAAAGCAGCGATATGCAACCAAATTACTTGCGCTTGGCGGATGACATAGTGCTTATTGCGGATAGCTCTTGCCAAAGAAGGAACTGCTGCAGGAGCGCAACGGAGAGATTAGAGAACTGGGCCTGAAATTAATGCATTAAGGGAAAGGTGATGCAAAGTGCCGGTATGCCTCCGCAAAATCTTAATGGCCATGTCTTGAAACTTGTCAGTTAGCATGGTTGCCATAGAATTGCAGAAGGGTACCCGTTTTGTGGGCAGGGTACGTTACATTCTTCAGCTGGGTGTATTCGTGGAAGAGTAGTGATTGGTGCAATTCCACAGCATCGTAGATGTCCTCAAAGTGTTGCACCGGAAGGACTGTGCATGCCTATTCAATACTGCTGTGCTGAAGGCAGTGATGTACGAATGCGATTTGCTTTGCAACTGGTCCTTCCCTTACCAATGAGTTTCTGTTCCTTAAAGTACTTATCTTTGCAGCCTCTAAGTATCCTACACACCTAATATCTCATCAACTCTTAATTGTCAGTTCTAAATCTAATACTAATTCATGTAGCGCATGCGCAGAATTTATCGCTGCATATGATTAGTTTCAGTTTTGTAAGTAGCATAACGTGTAGGATGCAGAAAAAGCGCTGGGCTTAGAACATGAAGGGTAGGATATTCTAGGACAGGAAATATTTGGCTTCAATTTTTCACTGCGAACTCATCCATTCCTAGGTTTTTCTAGAACACTTCTTGCAACTGGTACTGCATCAAGCGCTTTTTGCAGCTAGTTCGTAGATTGTTCTATGCGGCCAGAGCCAGTGAAGATCCAGTGCTTGTTCCCTTGTCGTGACTATATGTGTGAGTCATTCTTCAAACATTTTAAGTGAGTATCCTTGTCTTCCCGAATATATGTATTCATCCACCTTATACTTCCATGTCATCCCACTGCCCCCATGTTTCCTCTGACACATCACAGCTCCTGTTTCACGCTTCGATATTTGCTGAACACGTTTCATTTGGTTTCGTTCGGACACGAGGTTCTGTTCTACCCTTCCTCGCCATCCCCTTCAATCATTTTCCAAGAATTTGCTTTCTCTTCCTATAGGTACTTTTTTACCAACAGCTGTCAGAGTGGTTGCGTGCTTTATGACAGGTAAACCTGACCTGTATTAGCTTAATTTGGAATGGTTTAAAAATGTGTTATTGGAATTTGAGAAAATAGCATCAAATTTAAAAAAGTAGCGGCGCGCACCAGGGCAGCTGATGCATGATTGCCATCCACCGAACTATTGCTTGCTAATGGTTTTCACTGCTCTGAATTTAAATTTGAAGGTTACATTAGGGGGAGGGACATTCCTTCAAAATTTTAGCTTCCTAGATTCCACAGTTCCCGAGATAATAATTTACTCGCCAAAAGTTTCACTGGGCGGTACATGTTGCCCGGAGCATAGGAAGGCTGAATTTAAATTTCGCGGGTCGCACATGGGCAGCGGACCTGCAGATTAAATTTTAAGTTTCTTCCTTCCGTAGTTCTTGAGATAATTTTCCCCGTCAAAGTTTTTGCAGGACCGTACGTGTTACCCGTGGGTACGGGGAAGTTGAATTTAAATTTGCGGGGTCGCACGTGGTTGAAGGACATTCCCCTAAATTTTCCGCTTCCTAGCTTTTGTAATTCCCGAGTTGAAAGTTGCGGACAAGTTGCTGCGGACACACATACACACACACGCGCGCACACACACACACACACACACATACACATACACACACAGGCAACCCCATGACAAAATGCGTTTTGTACTGCTATTGCAGGGCAGAAAATGCATAAGTAACTGCTAAATAGGAATGTTTCGGTTGGATTAGTGATGAATATTAGTCAGCCAGGTGTTCCCTACGATGGACATGAACTACACAAAAGAGTTTAGCGGAGTGGGCGAGTGAAAATAGTACCTGCAGTCATCTATGTACACGTTAAAAACTGGACTGTGATTCAGCCATGTGGAAGGAGCCCTGCCCTCAAAGTTCTATCAAGTATATTAGGTATTTTCTGCCCACACAGTATTTAGATATTGCCTTGTTTTTCATGCATGGTGAGCTGTATTTAATCTGTTGCTGGAACCACGTAATTAAAGTGAACTGGCCTGAAATTTCACGGATTTCTGGGAAATTTACGGGCTTCGTGCATGCTTTAAATGAACTTTAGAAGTTCTTTTATTAGAAATTTCTCTCTTCCCCACTTGTCCTGTTCACCACTGATCCCATGCATGGGTCGCCGCCGTGTGCTCTGTCAACTTTAATTTATTTGTACCGTAAAAATAAGGGTAGGGGCAGAGGTTAGGGCGAATAGATGCGATGGAATGTGGTTTTTCAAGGTCATTGCAATTCCAGAACGCGTAAACTCTGTTCACTCCGCCAGTTAACTTTAATCTGCCCTCGATGACACATCTTCGCCTCTGCCCCTCCCTCAGTTGCGAGCAAATAGCAGTTGAGAGAAAATCTCCGTGTAGTGGAATTCTCGAGGTTTTTAGTTGGTAATCTTTGCACATCGCTTCGTCTAGTTGCTCCTATTGTTGTTATTATTGCTATTATTGTTACTATTATTATTACCATCATTATTACTGTTGTTGTTATCACTGTTATTATTAATAATAATGATTATTGTTGCCGCTTTTATATTCATTACTGTCACTGTTATTAATAATAATGATTATTTTTGTCGTTATTATTGTCGTTGTCATTATAATGACAATTATTATATCACTTTCATTACCACTGCCATTCATATGATTCCTTCAGACCGCACAGTCAGTATTCTGTATCCTTCTGTGCTTAAACTTCCCCCACTACAGATTAGTAGTGCCGCAAATTTTTTCCCTAATGCATAGTGATTAATCGCAGTACACCTCTAAATTTGCTTTTTATGCGTTTTTGCCGTGCAGCGCTAGAGCGCTGCAACAGGCAGCAAAAACGCATA